ATCATATTACCCCAATTTTACAGTCTTTGCACTGGCTACCTATTAAGTTCCGTATCAGTTACAAAATATTATTACTTGCCTATAAGGCCCTTAATGGGTTAGCTCCTGCGTACCTAACTAGTCTTCTACCACGCTACAATCCATCACGCTCCCTAAGGTCGCAAAACTTTTTGACTTTTGGTAGTACCTAGGATAGCAAAGTCCACTAAAGGAGGTAGAGCTGTTTCGCATTTGGCTCCCAAACTCTGGAATAGCCTTCCTGATAACGTTTGGGGTTCAGACACACTCTCTCTGTTTAAATCTAGATTAAAGATGCATCTCTTTGGCCAAGCATTAAAATAATGCATCTCATAATCTTGTACTGCAGTTATATCTGATCAAATGCACATTATTATTCTTTAGTTTGGGTTAAACAAATCAATTTTTTCTTGGTTGGAACAGCAGCTATGCTAAAAAATATCACAAACCACCTCAGCTGCTTCCTGTCCTGGCCCTTCTATTTCCAATGTTGCTGGAGCAGTTCTGCCGGATTAATTCCTGCGGACCTCTCATTTTTCCAATGGCACATGCTCTCCAGTAGAGTTTCTGAGTGCGTTTGAGAGCCCGCCTCAGTGAGGGTTCAATCTCCCATTAATGGCTCGTGATGAGGATGAGTTGTCTTTCGGAGCATTGGAGGGTGGGTTTGTCCGATCGGAAGCAGATGATTCAACTAAACTAGCACTTCTGGCTGCTGTGTGTCTGTCTGTGCCTGAGATGGCAGCCATGCTTACCCAGGCAGCAGAGAGCTTAATGCTTGAGTGGACTCTTCTACCCTGTCCTAAGCTCTCTCTTGGATGTTTGGTTCTTGGAGACACTTAACTGCACTCCACTCCAGGTCCTTTCTTTTTTTTCGGAAGTGCGCGAGGAGCCCGGGTGAAAAGAGTGATTGCGCCACCTGGAGGGACCGTCCGAGACTCTCATCCGTTACTTTGTCCCTTGTGGTGAGAGCTTATACTGCTTCTGGTCAAGCTGTGTCTGCTCTGCTTACCATGGCTGTCATGGAGATGTTCAGGCCAGGGTCTGCACAAGGGTGGTCCAAACCCGGAGCATGCAGGAACTTGGTGCAGGCTCAGGGGAGGGTGATATCCAGATTATTAGTCCAAAAGTGCCAGCTGTGGCTCAACCTGGCTGAGAAAGTGTGCTTTCTCAATGCCCCCATTTCTCAGGTTGGTCTCTTGGCGACACCGTTGAACAATTTGACATATCGGCACAAAAATCGGTAGGCATCATCGAAAGCATGTCCCGGAGGTACCTGAGAAGTTTGAACACAGTGCCACCTAGTGTTCCAGAGACATAATGATTTTTGCAAAAATGCTTAGAACTTTTGAAAGCATTGTCCAATTATTTATTTTTCTCTGTCAATACATTCCTTTGTTTATGCTGATTCTGATTCTGATTCTGATATCTCATTTTTCATTTTCCATTATTTTGTTTGTCTGCCATTTTGAAGTAAATGAAAAAAAAAAATTCTACTCCTCCTACACATTTTGTCCAATTTTGTCCAAATTATTATCAGATGATCTTTGGACCAAGCCGCACAGAAATGACTGAACGGATTTTTGATATTTGATAACCATAAGCTATGTTAGCATTTAGTTAGCGTAGCATGCTAATCTTGTCAAAATGTTAAGTATAGCTTTCATGTGCTAATTATCACACTGAAAGCTGTCCTTGGCAGCCTGTTGGATGTTTGTCAACTGAGTGGTGCACTCTGCTAAGCCACTGGTCCCAAACCTTACAGGTTGTGGGTTCAAATCCTGTGTGCCACATAAGATGCAGTGCTTTTCTATACAAAATCTTAAAGAGTGTTTTGTGCTTTTGAGATGCACATTGTAAAGCTTTTGACTGTTAAGTGTGATGTGCTTTGATGAGTTTGCTGTGATGTTATGCTTGCTGTACATGCTGTGCTTGCAGTTGCAGTGGTTGCTATGCTTTCTGCACCTTCTGGGCTTGGCCCCGCATTGCTGCTAGCAGCTATATTTGGTTATATTTTGGTATTGTGTGTTGGCAGGTCTAAACTTTTAAACTGTTTAATTTGTGTAAATGCATATTGCTATGTGTTGTGGATTATATGTAAACATATGTTATGTGAAAAAGTTAAAATACAAATTAAGTCATTTTTTTAATGACATGACACACATATCTTGTACTTACCTTATTTCCAGGTTTTCCATGACCATGTGTCTGAGTGTGAGCTGTAAGGATGTGCAAGAAAACTACAACCGCATTATGCCTCTAGTAATTTGAATATGTAACCTATTTAATGCTTGAGCTAAGTGTATCATTGTGAAGAAGTGACCTTCACCGCTGCATGCGGCAGCACTGGCACTCATATATGTACACACACACACATATACAATCATTACTCACCCAACCTGTCCCAGTTTATGCCGCTATCAGCATAGCGGGTGCACACGCTAGCTTGGTAGCACTCGGTCAGTCATCCACACTCCATCCTCTTCCTCAGTCATCATACAGTCATGTCATACGGACAAATCACACATAAACTTTGTCTACTGTTTTATGTTTTATTGTTTAATTGTCTGTGTTACATGTTGCCATAGCCGGGTTACTAGATGCTGTGCTGACGAACTAGAGGTTGCGGAGGGTGATCGCTTTTGACGTCATCGGCTGGCGTTGCGCCAGTCTAAGGACCCGATGAAACCATGTGTGTTTGTGTTGTGGGGTACCCGAATGTTTCGATCTGTAAAGAGAAAAAGATTGGTGACAACAAATATATGGTTGTTTTATATTACGGTTGCAAATGCGTGGTGATCTGTTTTAATATATTACCAAGTGAAGTTATTGTATAAATCTTAAAGTGGAAGATTAAATAATAACTGGTGTAACTTACCTTTTAATGGTCGTGCCTGGAAAAGGGGTGGAGTCTGGTCTTTAAAACTTGGCGCCAGACTTCAAACGGTGCTTGTTAACCAAGTCGAGCAAATGTGCTACTGCAGTGCCGTGAGCTAAA